TAGAGACTGGACCTAGATACTATTTATACGCATATTTTCTTACTTAACGGAATGAAATATAGGCATTTAACTTACATTTTGTCTCACGTCAAGAATTTTATAGTTGGTATAACAGTATAACAGTAAATTGGAATAATTCATATAACTACAATAATTAAAGATCAGTTATCGGCCTGGCGGTGTAGCTCGTCGCCTTTGTACTCGTCTAGTGCAAGAAAAGTGAGTAAGTATCTTGTATTATCGTTAAATGTAATCTTCGAACGAGAAGAATTTTTACCGACCGTATTGTGTAAACAATAGGTAGGTTATGTGATGGCAACAAATTTTGCATATTGAGTTTTCGGTGGGAACGTACTTCTCCATAGTAGGGAAGTGTAAATAAACTATTTTTAGCAACCTGTCGGTCTGTCGGTCTGTCGGTCTGTCGGTCTGTCGGTCTGTCGGTCTGTCGGTCTGTGTGTGCACGCGTGTATCTCAAGTTCGGCTGAACCGATTTTGATGAAATTTTATATGTAAGTTTGTTTCCACCATGGCACGGATCGATCAACTTTTGGTATATATCAGGCATCGGGAACTGCACTTTTTAGCGGGCCGATTTTACATTTCTCACCATTTTGAAGAAAGTATTCAACCGATTTACTTGAAATTTCATATATAAGCTTTGCTCGATCATACGCAAAAATTCCTAACTTTTGGAAGAAATCAGACATCAGCAACTGGGCGTTTACTACGGGCCAAATATACATTTTTGTGTATATAAAGAGAAATAATCAACCGATTTCATTGAAATTTAATACATGAATTCCTCGTATTAAAACAATGAACATGTAAATTTTTTGGAAAGATCAGGCATCGGCAACTAGACGTTTACTACGGGCCAAACATACACTTTTGTGTATATAAAGAGAAATAATCAACCGATTTCATTGAAATTTAATATATGAATTCCTCATATTAAACCAATGAACATATAACTTTTTTGGAAAGATCAGGGCTCGAGAACTGATTTGCGGGCCGATTTTACATTTTTCACCATATCCACAGAACAAATTTATGGAATTTCTTGAAATTTGATATTTGAGTTCTGGTTGTTACCGAAACTAACTGGCGAGCATTTCAGGGAATTCGGGTAGCACAAAGCAAAACTCTACTAAGAGCCAAATTTACATTTTTCTAAGTATGTTAACTATAAGCTTACTAATGTCCTAAAAATTGGAACGAAGTATTTAACAGACATTTTTATAATATTCTGTAACACTTTCATTTAACTAGACAATACACAATGCGGTCGGTTATGTGCTGACCACATCAGATTTTTTTATATTGTGAATGTCATTTTTTCCGAAATGCACATATGAAAAATTTTGCCATCAAAAACTTACATATTTTTTTCAAGGTGATAAATAGAATCGATATTTAAAGAAAATACCAACTTAAAACAATTAAAAACGTTTCAGTTGGTATAAACCAGTGGAATTACACCTTGCACCTTTTATTCTTGTATAGCAATTATTCGAACTTGTGAAACTATTCTACAGAAACCTTACGAATAATATGTCTGGCCTGCAATTGGACACACAACTGCCAAATTTCATGAATCCAACTTTATTATTTCGAATGTGTTTTGGTGAATGTGTTAAATTAGGTTTTGGTGAATGTGTAAAATTATATTCGACTTATATTCTGAAAATTTTGCGGGAATAACTGCACTAATTCAGGCAGCTACCATAAAACTCCCTTACAAAATTTAAAATTAATTTAAAATAAGGGACACGCCCTTACAAAATTTAATATTAATACCAACATAATTTACTGAGATGATTTTGGGCGAACTTGCTTCTCAAACTTTGCTGAAAGCACAAATTGTATGATTCAATTAAATTGTTTGATTCAATTAAATCATAATTGTTACATGCATGAAGAAGAATTAGGGTAAAATTTCAAGTACAAAGTCACAAATTTTTACTGACCGTATTGTGTAAACAATAGGTAGGTTATGTGATGGCAACAAATTTTGCATATCGAGTTTTCGGTGGGAATGCACTTCTCCATAGTAGGGACGTGTAAGTAAACTATTTTTAGCAACCTGTCGGTCCGTCGGTCTGTCGGTCTGTCGGTCTGTCGATCTGTCGGTCTGTGTGTGCACGCGTGTATCTCAAGTTCTGCTGAACCGATTTTGATGAAATTTTATACGTAAGTTTATTTCCACCATGGCACGGATTAATCAACTTTTGGGATATATCAGGCCTCGGGAACTGCACTTTCTAGCGGGCCTGTTTTACATTTTTGAACATTTTGAAGAAAGTATTCAACCGATTTACTTGAAATTTCATATATAAGCTTTGTTCGATTGTCCGCGAAAATTCCTATGTTTTGGAAGAAATCAGGCATCGGCAACTAGGCGTTTACTATGGGCCACATATTCATTTTTGTGTATAAAAGGAGAAATAACCAACCGATTTCATTGAAATTTAATATATGAATTCCTCGTATCAAAATAATGAACATGTACATTTTTTGGAAAGATCAGGCATCGGCAATTAGACATTTACTACGGGCCAAATATACATTTTTGTGAATATAAAGAGAAATAATCAACCGATTTCATTCAAATTTAATATATGAATTCCTCGTATCAAAATAATGAACATATAAATTTTTTGGAAACATCAGGGCTCGAAAACTGATTTGCGGGCCGATTTTACATTTTTCACCATATCTACGGATCGAATTGATGGGATTTCATGAAATTTGATATTTGAGTTCTGGGCATTACCAAAACTAACTGGTGGGCATTTCAGGGAATTCGGATAGCACAAAACGAAACTGTACTAAGAGCCAAATTTACATTTTTCTAGATATGTTAACTATAAGCTTACAAATGTCCTTAAAATTGGAAAGAAGCACTTAACAGACATTTTTTTAATATTCTGTAACACTTTCACTCAACTAGACAATACACAATGCGGTCGGTTATGTGCTGACCACATCAGATTTTTCTTTTTTTTTGTAGTAGTAGCAGTGTGTAATTCAAAATGACGAAATAAAAGTACTTTGTCACATTATTTGAAATCGTATAGCTTTCGGGTGTACTTCGCGAATTATACGAAGTTGAACCGCTCTTATAATATTGTAACTACTCATAAAAACCAATTAGAAAATTAATTATTGTAATAAAAATACTTATAATTTTAATGATAATAAAAAATCCATTTACATAAAGAAAAAATTTTAAAGCAGACACTCAAAATACAAAAAATTATAACAGTTACTCATTTTAAATATCTGTCAGACATAAAAAACACTAGAATCATTATCTCATCTGTTGATTCGGTTATTATAAAATTTGATTATCCTTTATTAAACATTAAAAAGAAAACTACTTTAACTTAAACCACTGAAAATTGTTAGTATGTGCATAATATGTACACATAAATTTCTTCCATTACTCATTTTATATACTTAACAACCAAAATACATTAATGTTCATCCGGTCCAGTACACATGTTAGAACAACTGTAAAACAGGACATATGGTAATAATTTTTATTTTCTGGTTTATTTCCTTCAACAATTTTTTTTTTTTTTTACATTGGTTTTTATATTTTACTCATTCCATTCATATGATTTCCGTTTTGTAATAGTTTTCTATTCACAAGTTATTACGAAACTTCTTAAATATTTTTGTGCATCATAAAATCTTAAGACTTACCAGACCATATCATAATATGATTTAACGAGCTTCTATGTATATTATTGTGGAAAAGAGCAAAACGAAAAAAGGAAAAATTTCTAGTTAGAAAAAATTATTTTTGCGGTAATAGTATGATGTGTGGTTGTATGTATATGTTAGACAAAGAATAGCCAAAGAAGCACAAGCTTATATAAGTGGGTTAAAATTTATTTACATAAAAATTCTCTATGTTACCAAAGATATTAACGTAGAGAAAATAGTTAATAATCTGGAAATGTTTTTCTTCTAGCTTTATTTTTTTTGTTCTCCTTTCATAAGACAAATACACTCATAAAATGTAAGTAATAGTTACATTAGGTATACAAATAAAAGTCAATCATAAATAGGAAATATTAGTAGATTTTTTGTTTTTTGGTTGCATCCTTCTATATTTTCCAATATGCATGATGTTCAAGAAAAAATGTTGATTATCTCATTTAAAATTTTTATTCAAGTATTTGATTATAATATTCATAAGGATTTTTGAAGCAAAGCTGAGCATACATTGGTTCAACTTTAAAGCTTGAATGACCAAATTTTCGAATGATGCATCCAAAGTATAAGACGGTTATTATACTTTGGATGCATCACTCTGTTTTGCACAGATAAAACGCATTTTAAATTTATATTGCTCAATTATTTTTCTTATTTCTGGGATCCTAATTCTACAAGTTTGTATTATCATCGATAACAACTCTGCAATAGATGTTGTAGATAACAGTTGTAATGGATAAATTCAAAAGTTATTATTCACGTTATGTCATATGACAAAGTTAAGTCAAAGTAACCATCAATGAGAAAACAAACTACCAATCAAATGCATCAAGCAAGAAGTTTATTCAATATCATTCTTTTTCTGACGAAAACCTGAGAAATTTATTCATCTTCGACTTAGATAGATTAAGTACAACGAAGATATTTTCGTCTAAACAAAATTCGAACAATACCGCAGAAAACAAAATTAGTCAATCCTAACAGATGTCGATATTCCGTTTCTTAAGTTGTATCCCTTTATTGTAACCCTTAAGAACATGAGACATGAAACATAAGATACTACTACTATACTCGTCCTGCCCAGTTCCACAGTATCTTATTTGACATTATCGGAATAGTTATTTAAGTTTGAACCCAATTAGAAACAGCACTTATTGTTGTCAATAACTCCATGAGCGCAGCAATTCTCAAAGTTCAGTAAACGTTCAAAATATTATAGATAATGAAATTTGTTCTACAATTATAATTTGATCATGTCATGTAAACTTAATATATACATACATAAATATATATTGTCACCACAATTGTTAGCTTTTACAAAAAATTTTATACGAAATTTCTTCGTTTCTTATAAACGTTTGCATATAAAATATAAAATAAATGCATATTTTAGATTTGGTTTCAGTTATGGTTTTGGTTTTATCATAAATAATTTGGTTAAAGTTGAAACAAAATTTGGCATTGCTTTCATTTCATCAAGTCTTTCATTTTGTGGTACATTTGATTGGTATTCATATGCAACTTTTCTATTAACGGCAGTAAGAAAATGAAATAAATCCAATTCTTCATTGTATTCCAAGTATTGTTCAAGTACATGTGATAAACTTTGTATAAACCATGAACCATTTTGTGGATTCCGCCACGAATAATGCCCTAAAAATTTTAATTATAGTTCTTGATTTCAGCATAAAATTCTTTTATCAAAAATTGTACCTTCAAAAGTTGAATAATATACTAATAAATCAGCTGTATTGGGAATTGTGTATGTGACAGGACCATCGGTCTCATCCAAATCAGCGGATCTAGTCATTACACTAAATCCTCTGGACATATAAGTAGCACCAGCATCAACTTTATCACCACGACATGCCTAAAATGAGTAAATACTATTGTTATTGATTTGATATATTTAAGGCTCTCATTATTTAATTAAAGTTATTTTTTATAGCTTGGTTAAGTTAGAAAATTCTTAGCTGTTAAGTTAGTACATAGTTAATTTATAAAGTACTAGTGAATTTCTTGTCAGCGAGGGCAACATTTTGGTCAGCGAATCAGTTTGATCATCAAGCAAACATAAAAAACATGTAGAGTCACTTTTATTTTCAATATTTTTAAAATATTTGATCAAAAATCAGAGCATAAAGTAAGCTCAAAAAATAAATTCATAATTCGAATAAATTTAGAGTAATTTAAATACTTTTAGGGGTAATTGACCTCAAAGTTAGGATCAATTCAGTATTCAAGCCTCAAATCGATATCAAGTTAGAGTTACAGAGACTCGAAAACTTTTCTAACAATCATCTAATGCAGCCGTCGGCAAATAGTGCAGCCCATGGGAAGCATTCGACCCTTTCAATTCCAGAATATGGCCCATCATACAACTTGCAAGAGAAAAATATATTCGATTGCGACTATTAAAATTTTTCGAAAAAATGTCAAGTTTTACTTATGGCTCATACTTATATTCAAATATTACATATTTGCCCATAACCCACAAAAATTTGCCGAAGTCTGATCTAATGGACCAGATAATATTCCAATACTCTCTGGACGCGATGTTATACTTTGTGCTACTCTGAAAATCTTATAAAATTTTGTGAAATTTCGTATTTTAAAATTGCAAGAACAATACTACTAATTATTTTATACAAAGTTGTCTATAACAAAAGCTCAATTTAATTATAGTCTATTTTTTGTCTAATAAAACAAAAGAATTTCTCAAATAATTAATTTATATTACGTTATACATACATATGTATGTATGTATACGTTCAATTGTTATCAATTTTTAAATAAACCACTTTAACAAATCGAAAACCACATTTGCACCGGTTCCTATATAGAGAACAATGGAACAATGTAAAAGTACCGTAATAAAATTTTTTCAATATTAGTTTCTAACTAAATAATGTATAATTAAATATTCTAGTAATATTTAAATATAGATTAATAACAGCTTTAAATAAATTACTTTTGCACTAAAATTATATAATCAAATCGATAATAAATTTATTTCAAAAAATTTAATTGTACGAGTATATTTTTAAGAGGAAGACGAAACACCGAAAAACTTTATTAATCTAGGACCAAAACCTTATTGTGAGAGTAGTTCGGGCAAAAAATTTTGCCTTTGGAGAATAAATTGGAAAGACAGGTTTAATAGGGCACATTGTATTTAAATGATTACAGTGTCATTATACTTTTAGGTCTCACTAATTTTCCGAATCAGTTTGTAACAGTGGCTTATATGCACTTAGTACCATTACAACTAAAGGAACGCAGCAGCTCCTTCATTAATTTTGGCTGATAATACCAACTTACTATTGCAATACAAGTATGTATATTACTATTATTAAACTACAATTAAAACTTTGCTATTCTAATATACTTTGATCGCGTCACTAAGGCTTTTAAATATTTGGAAAAAAGCTTTGGTTGCAAAAATTTCAACATGAATTACGATTACAAGCGGGAATTTTAATCTTTTCCGTTTTGTACATATACAAAATATTTTAATAAAACAAATTATTTGCGAATTATTGTAAATTTTATGCAAAACCCTAGACCAAATATAATAAAATTTCTATTTATTCATTATCATGCAACGATAAGATTAACTTAAAATTATTGATAGAAAATTTATTTTTAATAATATAAAAAATAGCCCATTGCCTTACCTGAATGAAAAATAGTTTAGGTTTATTAATTAAACTTTTACAATTTTCACCTAAAAATGGTGTCCATAATTTTTCAACTGGATATGTCATATCTTCAGCATATATTTGTCCAGAAATTCCATGGGACATTACAACAATTAGAAGACAATCATTTTTTGAATGATCTTCTTCGGATACTAAAATAAAGAGTTACACATCAATATTTTTTTAAGCTCAATTGAGGCGCTCAGCACATTAGTGGCTTACTTCAAAAATGACATTTCGAATAAATTAAAATTGAATGTTAAATATTCAATTTTTAAGAAAATTTTTTTAAAAGGCAAAAACAAACTTATGTCAAAATAGAATGAAAAGAAGAGTAAAGTAAGTATTTTGAAGAAATAAAACAATTCTTTACGCCATTACAGCTCAATTGAACATATAATAACTCTTTTCTCCATAAATTTGGAATAACCCACTAATGAGCTGAGTGCCTCAATTTAAAATATTCAAGAATGGTTTGAAGAATATTGTTTTCTAACCTTCTTTTAAAATGTCAACGATTTTAGCATAAGATTTGTCATCATAAGTTCTTACATCGAAACCGTATGATCTGAGAGTTGATTTAATACGTTTTCTATCTTTTTCAGTACCCATTCGTTTTGATTGTCCTTGAATATTTGTATGATTAAAAATTAATGCAACACCAATATTTGGATGATCATTTTTATAGTGTGTGTGACGTGTTGGTCTTGATATTTTTGGTCCATCCGGTGTTTTTATTTCATCTTCCAAATATTTCTTATTTTCAATATTAAGATTAAGTTTAGCATCGGATTTATGAGCATCTTGCTTATCTTTTTTATCTCTTTTAAATAAATTAAAAGAATCTGTTTGATCCTCAGCCATAATTTTATTAAATTTATATTTTTAACTGTAATTTATAATATTTCTTTTTATTTGCCCGTAATTTATATACATTCAATCAAACGGTTTTGTAATAACTAAATAAAATAATCTTTTGAGTAAATTCTTTATCGAAATTTATTCATTTTTATTTACCTAAAGTGATAAGCACTTAGATAAGAGTTCATTATCAGTGTTATCTATTCCCGTTAATAAAATCGTATTCCTTTAAGCTTTCAAGTTCATACAAAAATAATGTGATTATAATGCATTATTTTACGATATATCGTAAGAAAATTTTTGAGAATGTATTAGGAATTTCGTTACACCCTCTTTTTACAAATTCATCGTAATAGTTTGAAAAGTTGTAGTTTTAATAATGAGAAAACTGTTTGATAGAAACATACGAATCTGTTGATTAAATTAAAGCTAGACGCAATCCACACGTACGAAAAATGAATATCCAAATTCGGCACAATTAATTCATGACCCAATTTAACCTCAAGGCGAATAGCAGGTGATTTATTCCAATAAATGAATATTGAAACTTGTGGTAAACAAAACACTTTTCAAATTTTTTTAAATAATGAACTCATAATTAAATGTGAGTACGTTTGCTAAGTACGTGTATACAATTTCAAACACAAAAAAAAATTTTATTTTGGAAATTCCCGTTATTTGGATATTCCGAAAATTTATATTTTAGTTTTTTTTTATTTTAATTAATAATTTTGAAATTTCAGCATAAATTATAAAGGGGTTGGTAATTTTTTGTATAAAACAATTGCTTATGGCAAAAATTATAACAAGTGACACGACTTTATAATTAAAACCAGGTCTGTGTACAAATACGCTCAGTATTTACATACTATATGGTTTCCACAAATAAATTTTGCCTTCATAGGAGAGACGGCGTTAAGAGTATAAATGAAGGGATGTGCATGCGTTCAATGCAATTCAATTTAATTAAAATAGAAAAAATTGATATTTTGAATTAAAAAGTCCAAAGTGTACAAAATTATTAGAAAATGTTCGAAAATTAATTATAAATAAAGAAGTTTTACATTTTTTTACATTTAAATTGAAAATCATATTCGTTTTAATCAAAGTTTTAGAAAGATAAGAAAATTAATCCAAACCCCTTGTGTTGAATGCTCCGCTTTTGGTTGTTGATATTTTCTAAAATCAAAGTTATATGAAAAACATTTTCTAATTATACAACGTGGTTCGGATAACCTGGCAAATAATATTAATCATTATTAAAATCGAATTAATTGTAAGACCAAAAGTAAAGAACAATCAATCACCTGTAAAACAAACTCGTAATGATAACTCTATTTTGTATCCGAAGGTATAAGCATTAATTTATATGCAGTAAAAGTACGGTACCTTTTTTTTTCAACAGACTGTAGCTCGAAAACGAATATATCTGCACCCCTCTCCCACCCATACATTTTTTTTTGTTGGAAATTGATCAAAGAATCATGCGAAACACCCAGTATATTTTAAATTCTAATACTATAATAAAGTTGAATTTTTAAAATTGATTACTCCCAAGTAATTGAATCACAATGACGATAATCAATTAGTAATAATTTTTTCTGCTTAAGAATATTATAATTTAATTTTCTAAATTCAAAAACATAAGCAAAATTTTTCATTATTAATTCCCCCTTGTTAGTGAGTGAAAAATTTTTTAAATTCTAAATCGATTTTTAATTATAAATTATTTAAAAAACAAGATTAATTAATTTAATTCATTTCTCATAAATTAATATTAAACGACCGAAATTACAACTACCCATAAAGCTTTAAACGTAATTTTTATCGTAAATCGTCATATTTTTTATCGTAATACTATTATTGTTGTATTATAATAGATGAACTTACGTTTTATATTGATTCTGGTATTAAATTTTGTGATTTAGCGATAAGACGAGATTTAATTAATCATAAATTTTAATTTGATTACGGAACGAATGAATTTATTGAAATCGATTTAAAATGATATTGTACTATGGGAATAAATTGAAATTCAAGTTTTAATTTTAATATACGAAAAATCTACTACCATAGAATTTTTTAGAAATGTGTTTATACTTAAATAGGATCACTATTTTGTTGTTCCGATTGTACAAGCTCTTGCAATATCTGCCATATAACCTTAGAAACAATTTATACCCCATATCTCCAAAAACGCAGGAACCACTGCATCACGACAACAAAATATTATTAGTCACAGGTACCACCATTTCAGTAAAAAATTATACATCATAAGCTGTCATGCAACCACCATTAAGGGTCTACAATGAATTGTTTTGTTAGATGTAAAGCTTTTATACTAGTATTTCATATTAACTTTTTACGTTGTTATTTAACATTTAAACAAATATAAAAATTATAATCTGGTAAAAATTAAAATCTATTGCCTTTTAGAATACAGTTATTATATAGAAAATTCCCTACTTAGAATCATTGTCAAATAGAACTTTAATTTCTAAATATCTAGAATAAGCTTATTTTAAACACTTTTCCAAAAAAAAAAAAAATTGGAAAAAACAAGCTTATTAGGTTCAGTCTGTCCGTGTGCTTGTTTAAAAAACTTTTACACCCCTTATAATAGAAATATAAAATTTTATTTTGCCTAATTGATCTTATTGAGAAACTTATTTTTAATTTAAATTTTAATCAGGTTTTAATCATTGCTCTTTAAAAAAAATAATATTTTCACCTGTTCAAGTGAAAAATGCTACTTAACGAACCATTTTTTTGATCCAACTTGCAGTGCAACAAAATTAAAAACATTATTATATTGATTATGTTCAATCAACTATGAAATTTAGAACACAAAACCACACAAATTGGAAATAATGTCTTATAAACTCCTTGTCAAAAAAAATTTTTTAAGGAACTAAGAAATTAAATGAATTAAAACTTAATAAAGTGAATCAAGTCACATATACGAATGTATGTCATATACATATATATGTACATTTAAATAAAATACCTGAAATCAGAAATTTTTTATTTACGATAAAATATTTATTTTTATTTTAATTTCTGGTTATTCAGTCCTCCTAATAATATTTTAGGAAAATGAATTTTATTAAGAATCTCACAATTGCTTTCATAAAATTTTTATTAAATTATTTCAAATATTTCGGTATATTATTTTTCGAAACGAGTAATGGCGACAATTCAAAATTTTTCTCAATAATTAAAATTCGATTTATAAATTTAATTCATATAATAATTTCATTATTATGCATTATTTTTGAAAAATATCAATTAAAACTCTATCTCGACACATACGATATAATTTATTATACTCTATCACTTTCGATGAATTTAACAATAATATTAAGTGTAATAATTTTAAAATTATTATATTCAATAAAATTAAAAATTTTTTATTTTAAATATACTTTTAAAAAATGTTTATATATTTATAAAAGTGTTAATTATTTTCATATAGAAAAATTATTTAGAAATAAAGAATTTCAAGATTTTGTATTTTTAATAATAATTCTAATTAATTTTTCAATTATAAATTATAATATTATAGGAGATTTCTTGTATGTAGTGAAACGTATAAAACAAAATGTTTTTATAAAATTTTTTACATATTTATTACATTATTATATATTTTGCTATTATACATATTCAAATATAACATCATCATTAATTAATTTTATTTGTATAATTTATAGTAATAGAATTTTATATTTAATTAAATTAAATGAAAATTTAAAACAAAAAAATGCTAATATTTTAAAAAATAAAAAAATTATATTTAAAAAATTATTAAATTTATATCAAATATGCTATAAAATTCCATTTGATTTTAATGAACAATTTAAATATATAATATTAATATTTTTATTTTATAATACATTATTAATTTATGTATTTATAAATGCTTACTTAGGCTATTCTTCAACAGAATCAAAAATATTTTGGATAACAATATTTTTACCAAAAATAACTGGTAGAACATTAGAAATAATAATATTATTATTTTCATATGAATTTATTGGAAAAATGAAAAATGGAATTTTAATGACCCTGTTGAATATTTCTGATATTTATTCATACAGAAATAATAAAGAAAAATTGGTGAGTATAATTAATAATAATATTTGTAATATTGAATTATTAAATTGTGACGACAAAATAATAAATCTTTGTTTTTTATTAAATGAGAACGTAATATTTTAGTATTATTGTCGACCTTTTGTCTGTTAAAAGAATCTATTATATATTGTCTAAGTCTAAGATATTCAATTATATCAAAATAAAAAAATTATCTATATTTATATTTCTATATCACCAAAAACCTAATTAAATTGATTAGATTGTTCTAATAATATAATTGACAATAATATTTGTATACGGGTGCTCCCCTGGCTGTGTTATAAGCTTCTTAAAAAGTAAGTCATTTGTGCAAACATACAAAAAAAAAATATTATTTATTTATCAAAATATTTTTTAAATTTGAATTTATAACCTTTACGTATTTGATGTTACTAAAAACAAATTGTTATGGGATCGAAATTACGTGTTATCAAAATTTTCACCGATTCTACGCTTCGATATATGTAAATGTTTGAACGTGTGTAAATAAATTCTCATATTACACAATATCCTGAAATTTATTATTAAACATATACATACTTATTTTATTTATGGATGAAAACATTAGTTTGTACCGCAGCCATTTTCCCTTAAACAAATAAAAATGCTGTTTTTAAAAACAATCTAGGTACTACATAATTAATTAAATATATATATAACAATATGATATATAACAATCTGACCTGATTAGTATACAACCGGCTCTATTGCTATAAAATTATGAAATTTCCATTAAATATTCAAATTATATGAAAGCTGAGTATTTTTAAACTAAAATTTCAGGAAAATATGCTGATTCCTGTAAAAATCTAGTTCCAGAGACCTGACATACCCCAAAAATTGATTAAACCGTCTCATCCTCAAAGTAAACTCAGATATAAAAATTCGTACAAATCGGTTCAGTCGAACTTGAGATACCGATCTGCGCAGACAGACTGACAGACAGGCGGATAGACCGGCAGACATCTCTCTAAAATACAAACTATATTTACGCTCCCATGAAGTGTAGCATGGAGACATATTTCCGCCGAAAACTCGACGTGTGAAGTTTGGTTCCATCCCATAATCTCCACTTATTGTATACAATGCGGTGGGCAAAAATTGAAAAATGCATTTATTATAATATTATAATAGTCGAATTCGACGGTTATTAAATGTGTTAAGGTAAATAATCATATTTTTGATGACATGGCATTTACAAAATTTGAGAGGGGATGGAGGCGGGAATTTTTTTTTTTCTAACGCAACAAATTAATGTTTCTAATAGAAATTTGTTGGGTTATAGCAGTTAGAGAGGTTGATATATGTAATTATATAAAAATTTTCTTCTAGCAAAATTATTTTCTATAGTAAAGATTTGCTTGCGCATAAAATATCAGCTTTCTATTTGAAAGGATATAGAAGTTTTGTTAACAGACACACAAACCGATAGTTGGTCAGAGTGAGACTACTAAGCATTTTTTTATAATTTTTTTTTTGCAAGTTAAATTAATTTAAAAATTAGGTTTTTTCTTACAAATAAGTGCTTTCATTCAGCTTTGCCTATTCCTTGATAAAAATATTAGAATTTGAATCTGAATCTGAACTTAAGCTTTGTAATAATTTGTTTTTATTAGGTATTGTAGATTCATACCTAAAAATATCATTAAAATCTAAAAATAAATTTTTTTTAAATAGATATTGATTAGATTCTCATTATCTCAAAGTTATATGATGTGTTTTGTCATTTAAATCAAAATATGACTAAATACGGACAGGTTATACGCATATAATTGTGCAATAGCCATTAACTACATGGCTAATAATGATTTGTTTGCTTTAATCTAAAGCAATAAAAATATTATGTTTGTAATAAATTTGTATACTAACGTGAACTTAATGCAAAAAATATTACTGCAAGTGAAAATATTTAATAAGGTTAATTAAGTAGGAGATTATACACTAAACTAATAGTAATTTAATAACATTCAAAATTATAAGAAACGAGAAAAAAAATAGAGTTGACCTTGTCAACTCTGTGATACCCGCACGAATTTGTTATCCTATGTGCGAATAACTAATGTGCCATAACTAACTATGGGGCAGACTATGACTTTAAGTTGCCGTATTATCATATTAATTTATGCAAAATTTCAGTACTATGTGTTATTCAAAATACTGGTTGTGCCAAACTACTATTGATGTTGTATGGCAGCTACCAGAAAGAGCCAAGAAATTTTAGCGAATTTTATCAAGCACATCGGCCCTACTAATATACTCACTTGTGTGAAATCTCAATATCACAGCTTTTATAGTTTCTGAGATATGGTCAAATAACTTTTGAAGTTGTATGGCAGGTACCAGAAGGAGCCAAGTAATTTCAACGACTTTTATGAGCCACATTGGCCCTACTAATATATTCGTTTGTGCGAAATTTCAATACCATAGCTTTAATAGTTTCTGAAATATAGTTAAATAACTTTTGAAGTTGTATGGCAGGTACCAGAAGGAGCCAAGTAATTTCAACGACTTTTACCAGACACATCGGCCCTACTAATATATTTACTTGTGTGAAATCTCAATATCACAGCTTTTATAGTTTCTGAGATATAGCCAAATAACTTTTGAAGTTGTATGGCAGGTACCAGAAGGAGCCAAGTAATTTCAACGACTTTTATGGGGCATATTGGCCATACTAATATATTCGTTTGTGTGAAATTTCAATACCATAACTTTTATAGTTTCTGAGATATAGCCAAATAAATTTTGAAGTTGTATGGCAGCTACCCGAACCGGTACCCCGATCATGTCCAATTTAAATAGGGTTCTGGCACTTACTACAATAAATCATTTGTGAAAATTTGGTGAACTTAGCTCAATTAGTTTTTGAGTTATCGTTCGGACGGACGGACGGACGGACGGACGGACAGACAAAGCTAAATCAACTCAGAATTTGACGCTGATCAAAAACATACACTTGAGTCTATATCTAAGACCGTTATTTCTTAGCGTTACAAACGGTAAGGCAAATTTAGTATACCCTTCGAACATACGTTCGTACGGGTATAAAAATTAGCGAAAAAATCCCAATTAGATGTAGCATATTATGAATGGAAGTAAAATTTTTATAGGAATTCTTTCTTCTCCGTATTGACCTACAACGAATTCTGTATAACAGTTGTATAACAGTTCGCAAAAATTCTAATTGTCGTTTGAATTTTCAGCGTAAAAGGAAGAATTTTCGAAATATAAGAAAATGAATTATTTATTTATTTAATTTGAGATGTACTACATATACAATATGTGGACTATTTAGACATAAATTTGTGCACTGTTACTTCGTATTATAGATTTGTATGACAGGTATTTAAACGCTGCTTTCATCAAATTAAATGGCTAATACCTGATCTAAATAATTTAAGAAAGTTTGATTAGTCTATAGTTAGATGAAAGTGTTTTCGAGCTGAATAGGCTCCTGCAATGAACGACATCTATTTCTTAGAGTTAAGAACATGGTGATAATTTATGACAACGTATACACTTCCAATATATGAGGATGTATAATTAGCGGTAGCCAGAAAAAAAAATCTCTTGCTTAATTGCTGCCAAAATTATAGGATTGTTTTCTTCTCTTTGTTTTTGTTAGAAATGAAAAACAAAATGTTAACTTAACCCTATTTATTTATTTTTTTGAGAAATTTCGTACAAAGTTTTTTTTACAAATAACTTATTAAACTTAAGCCTTTATTATTACAATAAATTATTTAAATCACAATTTTTTTTGATATATTTTTATAAAATTACAATACAAAATATTTAATTTGAATGCCTTGTAATGCATCACATAAAAATTTCTAAATTTTATAAATTTTTTTTCATAATTTTTCAATAAATAATTAATTATAATTATTTTAAAATTTTTGTATAAAGATTATCACTTTTTCAATATTAAAGAAACATACAGCCTTTTTCTTTATATGTAAAAAAAAATTTTTGAGGAAAGTTTTTATGAAAATGGTCTAGGTTTTGCTTTAAATATAAATAATTTTGTTAATGTTGAAATAAAATTTGGCATCGCTTTCATTTCATGTAAATCAACTTTTATTGAATTTGATTGATATTCATAGGCAACTTTTCTATTGACACTCGTTAAAAATCGATAAAGTTCAATTTCTTCCTGATCTCTTAAATGTTTTTCCAATAATAATGCTATTGTTTGTATAAACCATGATCCATCAGCTTTATTCCGGAATGATACGTGTTCTAAAAGAAAATATTGAAAAGAAATATAAATTATAAGTAACAATTTATTCTAATAAACTTCTGTAAAGCTTCTATAATTTATTGTAACAAATATTAACAGAAACACATATGCCAATACTTGCATGCCTTGCTCGTTACTAATTTTATTAAAATTTCATACCGACTTATATAATTATATATATCGTTGTCAATGAATTGTATTACTTACCATCCCATGTTGAATAGAATAAAACAATATCAGCTGTACTCGGAATGGTATATGTTATCGGTGAATCAACTTCATCATAACTTCCAGATCTAGCAATTCCAGGAGAATCAGTTGATAAATATGTAGCACCTGCATCAGCTTTTAATCCTCGGCAAGCCTATAAATTAAAAAAAATAATAATAATAATATTAATTAATCATTTAATACCTTATTGTACACAAGTATCTTTAAAAGAACTTATTTTAGATTAAAACGATGTCATATCTTGGGTTATCGTACAGTTTTATGCGACTATAAATAGAGATGATTGTTTCAGTAATAATTATATTGCATTCTCTTAAAAAACAAAAGGTCATTAATACAAATCCAGTATTAACCGAAATTTTTCGGTAAATCGTGAATAATATTTTGATATTGCATTGTGAACTAAAAAAATGTTCTTTTTTAATGTTAATCATTTTAGACCCGATCAATTAACTTAATGACATCTTAAAAAAAAAATTTCACATTCCACCAGTTACGTATTTGTTTCCGAGAAATGAAGAATTAGACTTGTTCTTTCTAAAGTTTCTTTGGCTACGTCATATATAATTACACAATTTCGATGGTGTAAAGAAATATTTTTTCATTTTTCTCAATTTCTTAAGTAATTACTAAGTTGACTCCTCAGAATAACATTATTTTGTGACAAAACAAAATTATTATGTTTATATGTTGTCATACATAATATGCAAACACTTGGATTTCTTATTATTAATATACATATGTACATAAGTAACATACCGATTAATTTCTTTTTAATAAACTTATCTTTATTATTATTTCGAATTTTCATTTATCTATTCTTAGTAAAGGTTTTTCAATACTCTTATTTTCTAATTCAACGTTATCAATGTAATAAAATAAAAATTTCTTATAGTTTTCCTAGTTTTTTTTGATTTGATTAATAATATTGACGCCTAAAATTGAAATTTTCTATTACACAGAAAAAAAAACACCAAAATAATAATATAATTATAATTTTAGTTCATAAATCAAGCACGCGACTGCAAACTATATTTTGCTACTATAATATGGTGTTCACACATGTCTATAAATTAATAAATATTAACATATACATGAATACTCGTACATATGTACATACAACCAAATTTTCATAACATTTTATTTTTTTTTTTTTTTTTTTTGTTACAAAAAATATTATCAATTGCAAGTTCATTGTTCAACCTATTGTTATAAAAACAAAAGAAAATTTATTCCGTATTTTTACTATTATTCATAAATTTTAATAATAATAATAATTTTTGTTATAAATAAATTAATGAAAATATTTGATTAAAATAATCTATAAATACCTATATAGATAAAGTCGACAAGGTACTTTTTTTTTTATAACAAAAACATGTGCATTAGCCTCTACTTTCCATGGTTAAGTTCGCAAATAACACGAAACGTATAATTTGTGGTATGTTTTATATGTATATGCGCAGAGTAAATTTGGAGTCAGTCACCTCATTTATAATTTATATATTTTGAAATTAATTGAGGTTATTGATTTTTTAAGATTTTTTGATCATATTTAAAGTTATCACAACTTGAAAGGGTAACCCCTTTTAAAGACTTAGTCATATTTCCCTTTTTTCGCCAAAAAAAAAAACATGTGTTTTCTTTCTGTGCAAATGCAAGATGAAAATACTTGTAAAGTTTTAATGTGACCTGTATGCAAGTATACGAAAATTAAATTCTTGCAGAAAATAGTGTATAAGATAAACTCATTCACTTGAACCTTCTTTTCACTTATTTTCCAAACCACTTAAAATTTTCGGAAAGTTTTTTACATTTTTTCTTGTTTTTCAACATATTATTCATAAATTGAAGTTTTTCCCCGCAGTACACGCACATAATACATGGATTTTAAAATGCATCATCTTACAACTATTCCATCATATTATTATTCTATACTATAAACATATTGATCTTTGAAATAGTTACGTACCTGAATAAAAAATATTTTCGGTTTACCTAATAAAGTTGGACAATTTTCACCTAGAAATGGTGTCCAAAGATCAGAAGCAGAATATGATCTATCGGCAGCATAAATATATCCAGACATTCCATGTGACATTACAATTATCAATAAACAATCATTATAAGAATGATCTTCAGTTGCAACTAAATACACAATAGATATAATAAATAAAATCATAAAAAAAAATTGTTGTTCTCAATTATATTATAAAAAAAGTAATTAAGGTTACTCGCCAACCTTCTGTTAATTTGTCAGCAATTTCATTATATTTTAGATCATCATAAGAACTAACATCAAATCCATATAATTTAAGTATCATTTCCATACGTTCTTTATCTTTGTCTGTACCAGCACGTTGTGGATGACCCGGAACATTTATATGATTAAAGATAATTGCTTTACCAATATAAGGATTATCATTTCTATAAAATTCTTCATTAGTGGCTCTTGAAAGTTTTCTTCCAGATGGTGGTTTAATATTTTTTAATATATTAAAGAATTTTTTTGGTTTTTCATTTTTAATTGTTTCATCTGCCATTCTAGCTGCATCAATGTCATCTAAATCATTTTCAATAGACTTTTGTCTTTTAATACAATTCAATTTTTTAAACATTTTTTTTTTCTAATTTAATTTAAATTTTTATATGCGAACGTATGTAAGATTATTCAATTAATATACTTAAAATTCAATAAAATTTTATAAAATAATTCAACCACGTATTCCGTACTCCTTTTTTTTTTGGTTCTTGCTACCACATATGAAACTCCTCGACTAACTGAAAAATTTTTGCTGCTCTTTATAATAAAATAATTTACATTCTAGAAAATTATTGGATCAATAGAATTTTTTTTATCAATCGATTAGAACACGATAACATTAATATTCTTGATAAGATTTTTAGTGGCTTTAGATTATTACTCACTGAAATTTGTGTCTTGTGGTCTTCTTTCAAACAATTTTTTTTTATCGCAAATCTTTAATAAATCCAGTTTTTCTGAATTTTCAAAAAATAAATTATTTTTTCACATGAATTTTAAATATTCAATTGAATCTATGTTTTAGTCACAATTAATAATTAATTAACTTTAGAAAAATGAGATCGAGAAATTAAAAAGACAATGTAAGCAACGTTTTAAAAATTTCACGCTAGTGTTGCTTAAATTTTTTAGTTACGTTTTTAGTTTGAGTTCATAAAAAGATCGTTTACTAATCTACTATTTTTCAAATAAAGAAAATTTGACATAGACCATTTTGTTTATACATAAACAAAAAAAAAAAACAAAATTATGTAGAATAAAAAAAACAAGAAAAAAATTTAATTTTGGTTTTTGTCAAAATTGAATGCCCGCCAATTTTAAATAAACTTTATCTTAACTCAAAATTTCGAAACTTTTATACTCGGTAAACGTATAAAGCTTTCTTAGAACTAGGATCTAGGCACACAGTTTGACACAATAGCTATCCCTCAAAGCATATATTCGCTGGACGAAATGTTTGAAGGGTACATGATGTGGAAACACTGGCTGCTTACATTATTACTTACACACATACATAGAACATAAATACACTATAATAGATTATAAGAATAAGTATTGAATAATGAAATAAATCAGTCTTGAAACAGAACTCAACTAAAAAATTGTTTTAACTACATCTACACTTGCTGTTATAATGGTGACCCCGACGTGATGTCGGGGTACCTGTTATATAGGATATCATGCAAGATCAATGTTTAACAAAAGTTGTAAAGATTTCGGAGACATTTTCAACGACATGTCTCATGGTAAGTCAACGACCCTATTTGGTAAATGTTCTAAAAAGCCATAATCAAAATTTTGTACAGGAAAGAGCAGTTACAGTAGGCCAATCTTTTTTATTTTCAATACCGACAATGCACTGCGTGCGTGCACTGTATAAATATCCATCTGTTCCGAATTTCATGTCACTAGATGTCTTTGTGTTTTCAAGTAAGTACTGTTAAAGTACACACGAACGTAAGACGCTTCAACAATAAGCCGCTAGATCGACCTGGATTTTTTGCATTTTCATAATATCATTGAATACTTTAGCAATGCGGTACCAGTTATGTGTTACGTAACCATACACTAAGGGAGGTTATGACACCAAATTTTGCATGCTAAGGAAGCGTAAATAAACTATTTTTGAAAGCCATTTTCATGTTCTTACGCCACAATTTCGCTAAACTAGGCAAAACATCGACCGCAGGTGTCAGTTATGTGCTAACCACATCCCTTTTTTTTTTATAAATTTTCTTTTTCTCAAAATTTTGGAAATCATATTATTCTACCTATAATTAACAGACTGCAGCAAAAATTTTTACTTAGTAACACCAAGACCCTATACGGAATCATATATGTATGCAATATTCCTCAATCAGAAATATTTATATAAGACTTAAATGATAAAGTGTTATGCACTGAATAACCTTAGCATTGAATAATATCGGTGTTTGTCTGAAGGCCAACTTGTATTTTGTAATAGAATTTTTAAAAGCAATTAACACGAAAATTGTGTTGTTCTAACAAAAATTCTACACGCAAAGTACTGTAATTTAAGATTAATAAATTACAAAAAATTACCAATTTCGATTTTAATATTAATTAATTGTTTTCTTTTTTTTATTAAAGTAGTGATTTGTATATAGTTTACGTTTTTTTAACGTAAACGTGAAATATAAATCGACAAGTTAAATTTCGGCCGCTGTGATAGTTGCACAGAATAATAAGAAAATTTATAGAAAATTTTGTCATATAATAGGGTGTTCGGTTAAAATATTGATTAAATTCAATACCGGCAGAGTAGAATTTTAAATATGGTTAAAATTTTTATTATTAAAATTATAAAATTAACTACTTATATTCTAATTAAATGTGGTCAATTTTTTAATGTTATTCATTTTCAAGTAAAAAACAATTATAAATTCTATTCAATTATAAAAATTCGTTTTTTTATTTGTATTAAATTTGGTGTTGGTTTATTGTGTATTTTCAATGTTAGAAAACATCTATCTATAGTATTATTGGATGTAGATCCAATATCTTTAGCATTTGCAGGTTCTTTAGCAGTAATTATGACTATTAATCTTATGATATCTAGCCTAAAGGAAATCAAATCAGTTAATATAAAGAAGTATAGAAGAAATTTTGAAAAAGCTAAACTAATATACTTTCGATTCGAGCAAATTTTTTATAAAGAATCTGAAAATAAACAAAAAATGTCATATTATACTTATATAATAATAATTTTTAATACAATTTTTATTAAAATAATTACTGATGAAATATTCGATGTTGAAATAATTACTCATTCATTTCATAGTATATCAATTGATTTATTTATATACTTTACGTTTATGTATATGTTTTCAATATACTTCTTTGCTGGGATTATTTGTGCTCTAATAAATATTTGTGTTTTGATATCTTATGATAATTGTTGTATAATATTTAAAAATAAAACTAAATTATTACAAAAATCTAATAGTTTTTTACAAAAAATAAAAATTAAATTCGAATTAATTGAATTATGTAATTTATTAATAATTATTTATAAAATTAATCTAAATTTTAATAAATACTATAGAAATCTGCTTTTAATATTATTATATTTTATATTCAACTCAATATTAGTGTTTATTTACGTGGCTCTAAACGAATATTTCGTTCATGAACTGAATCTAATTTTAGTTTTATTACAAATAATATTAACAAATTTATCAAATGCTGTCATAATAATTTTGTTATACGATGAAGTTGGAAGAATCAAATTAAAATTAATTGCAGCAATTTCGGATATATTTCATGTAATAAACTGGAATAATGCAAATAACTTAAAAGATTTAATTCATTCGGTAAGTTTATACGACAAATCATATTCCTCTACTAAAGGCTATATAAATGCCTGTATATTTTCTAAAACACATATTTTCTTTGATGAGGTTTAATTCTTAAGGTTAAAGAAGCTTGTCTTAATGATAGAGAAGAGTATCTTAATGATAGTAAACAAAGAAGGTTTCCTGATACAATTGTCGAATAAATGGTTGATGTAACCAAAGGTATAAGTCAAATAAGAAAAAATTAAAGTTTTTTCTGCCCAAATTGAAATCGAATGGGTAACTCAACGTTTTTTAGGCTGACGCTCTACCAGCTATATTACAACTGTCAGATCTTTGCTTTGGATCGTAGAAGACCTAAAATACATAAAAACGTCATCTACAGTATTTTAACTAAAACTGTCTTGTTTGCAATTTCTCAAATTAAAAACTAAATTGGAAATATAAAATAATCTTTTAAAATCGATGGTGTTTTTTTAGAATGAACTTTATATACAATTTAATACCAGAGTTCTTTAAGCACCCTTAACTTTAAGAGCTGAATTCATCCCCATTAATCCCCATCGCTTTATATCGATAATGAAGCGCAAGAGTTAAACAGTACATTATTGTTCACATATTATTTGGAATGTAATCAAAACAAACCTTTTGTAAACTTTGGAACTTCTGTATGAACACATCTTTAAAGACCACCTTTACGAAAATCAAAATCCTTAAAGTATAAATGTTACGCGGGTTCCACTAGTTTTTTTTCTATAAAACAATTAAAATTTTTACAATACTTTGCACTAAATGAAAATTATTTTTTCATTTTAGGTTGAACAACTAATGTTTTCAATAAAACTAAATCCAATTCACATACGCTTATTTGGGATGTTTGATCTAAACAACAAATTGTTATTATCGTATATTGCAATGGTTGTCTCATATTCAACAGTTCTAATACAGTTTCATGTGGCGAAACACGTTGAAACCAAACAGTGAATAAATGTCAGATACCTAAAACAACTGTATATCATGAATTACAAATACCCTGAAATCGGAATTGTAATAACGGATACGATATTATTAAAATTCCGATGTCAAGTATACATACTCGTATGTAACATATATAATTAATGTTAAAATAATTTTAAAGTTTATGTTTTGTAAAAATATATTTTACTTAATTAAAAGTACATGCAAAATTAAAAAGAAGAATGTTTATAATAAAAAAAATTTTTGTGCTGTGACAAATAGGTTATTTTTTTTAAATATTTTTAACGACTATCTATTTATTTCATATAAGTACGTGGCGCTATTGTTTGGGAGCGTGACATAACCTAAGTTTTCTAACCATTTTAACTCTAATAAAAAACATAACTAAAACCCATTCTAAATTGAAGTAATTTAATTGACTCGACAGATCACAACTACCCAACACGACGTTGACTAGCGATTCCCGTTAATTGCAAGTAAAAACCTCACATCTTTCCTAGATAATAGTTCTCTGAAACCTTCATACAAAACATAAATATAACTGTTGTCACTCCTTTCGGATGGTTTTCTCACATGTTTTTATAGACTGGATTGCCTCATCGAAAATATACTATTAAAAAATTCTCACTCTCTCTTGCGCTCTCCTATAATCATTTGAAAGCGCTTGAAATCGTCTCCTTAGGAGCTCTTCAACTCCTTGTATACTGAGCTTCTAGAAATCCCTCCAATATTGCAGTCTCACTCTCTGCGTTTCTTTTGTTTAGTTCTTCACGAACAACATATATTATGTTAGGACGTCTGATTAAGTAGATATGATTGGATCACAAAAAGAAGTCAACCTTACTTTTTCCAGCGTTTCATTCGCCTCATTTTCTTCTATACGTTTCACGTCGCAAAACTTTTTTAAAATTGTTA